AGAGCCAGGGCTGGGGTCGGAGGAGTGGGAGAGCCACTGCCCAGGCACACGGCCGCGTTACAACTCGGAGAGTTTTGCGCATCCTCTGGGCCACCACAGTCACCCAAGGCGTGCTGCCCCAGCTGGCGGGGAGAGACCTTAAAACAAACTGCCCTCCCCACCGGGCAGAAACGCTCAAAAGGGCTGTAGAAAGGAGCGCAGTTTCTCCTGCCCCAGCAAAACAAAACAAAAAGCACGCTTGCCCTTGAAGCACGTCCTGTCTGCAAGCGGGGGCTTAGCAGATGTTTTAAAAGCGGCTTAAAAAGGATCTGAGCGGTGGCAGCGAAGCCGAGTCCGTCTGTCTGGCACGGGGGGGGGGGTGTGTTGTGGATGCTGGAGAATTCAGGCAGTGTCTGTCCCACTCTGCTTCCCTCCGCAGCCACGTGCCCCGTGCAACTGCTGTCCTGCAGGGAAGGAGCTGCTGGGCTCGCCTGGGGGACTGGGTTTCGTTCACGTTCTGCCGGCACATCCCTCCCCGCTGGAGCCACCGGGCTGAGCTGGGACATTTCCCGGCAGATGGTGCCTCTGAGCCGGGGGAGCTGCGGCCGAGCCGGGATCCTGCACCCCCCCAGCTGGCTGTTTTGGGGACCGGCTTCCCAGCCAGGCAGCTCCGGGCTTGGAATCACCGGGACGGCCCCTTGAGATCCATTTTTGCCACGGCTGCTTGTCTACTCCCTATCTCCTGCCTCAAAATGCTCTGCTCAGTTTGGGTGCCGCGCTTCCAAAAAATCTCGTGGGAGTGAATTTGGCCGCTCGGTTTAAATAGCGGGAAAGCGGGGCGAGGCCGGGGGAGGCGGGATGGACTCGGGGTTGCAGGGGCGCGACGAGATCGCGAGCACGCGGGTGAAGCCTCGCCTGTAAATGGGGCTGTCAGAAGAAAACGAGAGCGTGGAGCTGGGCGGGATGAAAAGGCAGTTTTGGAGCGGGAGCACGGCGTGGGGTGCCCTCCGCTTGCTTTTGCCAGGGCTCCGAGGAGCAGGAATGAAATGGAGGAGAGAAGAGGGGTGTGCTGCCTGGCCCCTTCTCCTGCCCGGCTCCTCCTCGGGTCCTTCTGGCCTCTGAGAGTGTGGGGGGATGCGGGAGCAAAGCCCCCAGCGAGGCAGCAGCTCTGCTCCCCTCCTCTGCTGGGAACCCCCCCAAAACCCCCCTCTTATTCAGGCTGTGTTGCCTGCGAAGCTCAAGCAGGAGCTGACCCAGAAACCCTCCGTTTTGCCGGACACAGCATCCTTCAGGGTTGAGCCCGCTGCCAACAGAGGAGTTTCCCCCCGGTCCTACCCAGGACGTGGGGGAGCCACCACCTCCCCATCTCCCACGGCGGGACGGGACCCCCAAACTTCCCTTTATGCCCCCTCTCCCCCCCCCATCCCAGCTGGAGCCAGGGACAAGGGACACGCCACAGCCCCCGCTTTCCCACAGTCCCTTGGTTAATTTACTAATTCATCAGCGGAGCCTGACGAGGGGGACACTTGAACAGGGGCAGGGAAGCCCAGGCACTGGGAGGGCTGGGAGCTGGCAGTCCCCCGCCGCAGCCACATCAGGCTTAAAATCCCCAGCAGCTGATGGGGTTTGAAATCGCTGAGCGCCGGGGCCGCATCCTTCTCCCGCCCAAGCCCTTTTCCCTGCTTCTGCGTTTAACAAGGGGATGGGGGGGGGGGGGGGGGGTACAACAGGGACCGCAGGCAGGATATGCCGGAGGTCCTACCCGCCCTCAGCGTGAAGGTCTCCCCTCCCAATCCAAAGGGCTCCCCAATATCCTCCTCCAGCTCCAAAAGGGGATTCAGACGGGGCCTTCTGGGTGCTGCTTTGTCCGCCAGTGCCCCCAAACGGGCACAAATCCGCCCCAAAATAGCAGCGATCTGGGTGGGAAGGAGGGAGGGGAAGGGGTGTAGAGGGGCGCGTGGGCACGGGCGGGGAGATACGGGCGCAGGGCTGGCGGGACGAGCGCCGGGGCTGGTTAAACGCAGGGGGACGTGGAGCGGGCAGGGGACGTGCAGCCCGGTGTCCTTGCTGGGGACGGAGCAGGGGGACGTGCAGCCCCCCGCGTCCCCGTCCCCTGAGGGAGGCCGCGTTTGCCGTTCCCCGTGGGGGCCGGGGCGGTGTGTGACCGCGCGTCGGTGACATTCCTGGGCTTAACGCCGGCACTCGGTGGCCTTCACTGACCTTGCGGGGCTGCCCTCGCCCGTTAACACACCCCCCCACCCCCCCACACCCCGGGATCCGGGGATGGAGCTGGGGGCAGAGCCGTGCCCGCTTCCACCACCGCCCGGGTCTGTGCCAGGACCCAAAGTGACCCCCCCCCCCCAAACCGCTACCCCCCCCAACAGCTGAGGCCCTGCCACGGGACACGGGGCGCCCTGCGCCCCCCCAAAAGCCCCGGAGGGGATCCAGTGGGGGTCTGGAGGGCGGGGGGGGGGGGTCGGGGATCAACTGGAAATCCACTGAAGCTCCTCGCGGTGGGACGGACCCACGCTGGCAGCGGGGAACCGCCGGGCTCCGGCGCTCGGGGACGTCTCCCCGTTGCAGGCAGTAAGGACAAACGTCCCCGTGCCCCGGGGACACCCCGTGCTGCCTCTCCGGGGCCGTTCCTGCCCCCTCCCTGTGCCAGCAGACACCCCACAGCACCCCCAGATCCACACACCCCCCTCCCAGCATCTCCCACGCCCCAAAACCCACCGGGGCAAGACCCGATGCACCATCCCCTTGTGCTGGGGGGGGGGGGGATGCCCAGCACCTCGCTGGATCAGGCTATTTTTATCCTGTCGCCCTTTATCCTGTCACCCAGTCCTCGGCCATACAAGGAGCCATCAGCCGCCCCGGGGAGGTAATTTGTCCCCAGGGTGCCACATTTCATGTCACCCAAGTGGCTGACAGCAACCGGGGAGGGGATTGTCACCTCGGCGGCGCAACCTGCTCGTCTTACATCCCCGGCCGGCCCGCTTCTGGACCTCCCGCTCGCCGCCTGGGGACACCTTGTGATGTTTGTCCCCTTGATCCTCAGCCCCTGATTTCTACAAGTCGCCCCGAAATTGGCACCTGGTGATGAACAGGTTCCCGACGGGTGAGGCCACACGGTTAGAAATAGCTCACCGCTCCGGCCATCGATGGGAACGTGGTGGCCACGGGGCCGGTAAAACCGTTTAGACGGTGGGTTGGGGGGCAAGGGGTGCTCCCCCCTGCCCCCCAGCCCAGCCGGTTGTGTTTTTCCTCATAAGAGCTAAGTGACACGCCCAGGGCCATCCCGGACAGCGGTGGCAGAGACACCCAGATTTTGCCAAGGGCCATCCGACCCCCACCCCGAGAGGGGGTTCTGGGTGTTGCACACGCGTGTGTAAACCCCCGCGCTTCTGGGGGTACACCTGAAGGCTGGTACAAACAAGGGGGGGCCCCTGGACTGTGCAGCACCCCTTGACTGACCCCCCCCCCCCCCAAACGCTATATCCCCCCCCAGCTGGAGCCTCCTGCCAGGGGGGGCTTCTCGCCTCCCCATAATGTGGGGACCCCCTTGGTCAGGGAAAACAGGGACAACCCGCCCCCCCCCCCCCCCCCATTTTAGCAAAATCCCAGCCGGGAGGGTGTAAGGGGTTTGGGATGACCCCGATGGGTGGGAGGAGATTTTGGCTCACCGCGGGGCTCCCCATGGGCACCCTGCTGTACCCCAACATACCCCAACGCAGGGTTTGGGGGTGTCAGTGGAGCGGGGGGCACTGCGGGCCTGGGAAAGACTCGCACCCCCCACAACCCCCCCCCCTCCCCAAAAAAAACCTCACCCTGCGCAGGGGCTGGCAGCCAGGAGTGGGGATCCCCGAAGGACCCCCCGGGAGTTGTGGGGATTCCGCCCCCCCCCCCCCCCTTTCCCGGGGCTGCGGCACTCACCGTCCGATGGGGTCGAGGGGCAGCGGGGCGGGGGGTCGCTGGGGACCCCCTTTTCGGGGCGCGGAGCCCCCGCCGCCGCCCGCCCGCATCTCGGGGGAACCGGGGCGCGGGTGGCCGTGGGCAGCGCCCGGCTCGGTCCTGGCGACCGGCCCGGGCTCGTCACGGCGGGGGGGGGGGGGGGGCGGGGGGGCGGGCGGGGGGGGGGACGGACACACAGGGGGACCGGGGATGGGGTGGACCTGGGGGGGGGTCTCGGGGGCGGCGCTGGGGGGGCAGCGGGGAAAGCCGGGCTGTGCGGGGACCCCAAAATTAGGGGTGAGGCGCTGGGTCCCCCAGCATTGGGGGTACGGCGGTGCGGGTCGTGTCCCCCCCCCTCGGTGCTCCCCCCCACTTTGGGGGTGCAGGGTTGGGTGTCGTGTGTGCCCGTGTCGTCGTTGTCGTCCCCCCCCCCGGAGGTGCCCCCCAAAATTAGGGGTGCGGCACTGGGTCCCCCTGCGCTGGGTGCCCCCCCCCAGGGGTCCCCAACACTGGGGGGCAGAGCCGGGTGCCCCCCACCCCCCGCGAGCCACGCGGCGGCCACGTGACAACCCCCCCCCCCCCCGGTGCTCGGGTCGCGGGGAATCCCCCGCCCCCTCCGTGTGTTTACATCAATCCGCCAATCCGCGGCTCTCTAGCAGCGCGCCCGTGAGGCGGGGCGACCGGCTTGCGACGCCCCTTCCCATTGGGCCCTTTGCCCGCCAATCAGCATCGGGGCGAAGGAGGGGCGGGGGCGATGTGCTTATTGACAGGGCGGTCGGCCACGCCCACCCCGCCACGTCCCCGCCCCCGCGCTCTGCCCGTCTGACCCCACGTGGGGGACGCGTGCGCCCGACCAATCCGACCGTTGCAGTTTAACCAATCCGGAGGTGGCTCTCAGCCGGCGGCGGAGTGGGTGGGACTAGGAGCTGGAGTGGCGGTGGCCTGGAGGAGTAGCCACAGCGCTCTCTCGCCCTCCCGCCCAACCAGGCTCAGCGCCGTGCGCGGGGAGGCGGGGACGCGCGGGTGGGTCTGGCCAATGGCGGGGGCCGTTTCTCGGCGGAGCGGGGCGGGTGGGCGTGTCCCCGCCGTGAGGGGGCCGGCGGCGGCGGAGGGCGGGCGGCCGTGGAGCGGCACCGGCCCGGCCAGGCCGGCAGGTACGGGCACGGGGGGGGGGGGGACACGCTGCCCGACGGGACCCCCGGCAGCCCGGGGTGAGCACCGAGAGTTTTGGGGGGGGAGGTGTGAGGCGGTGGGGTGTCCGGTGGGCGCTAGGCCGGGGCAGGCCCCGGTGCGAATCGAAGGCCCGTGGCCGCGCCCCGCAGCCAGCGCAGCCCTGAGGCTCCGGGGGGGGGGGGGGGGGGGGGGTGTGTGCAGCCGTTCTCCTGCCTCCCCGACCTTCGTTCCCCGCGGGACCCGGCTCCCAAATCCTCTCTGTGTGGTCACGCGTGGGGCGAGGCGAGGGGAGCGTGCCACAGGCCCACCCAGCGAGGCCGTGGGGTGGGGGGGGGGGGGTGGAAGATGGGCTTCTCTCTCCTCACCCTGCTCCATCCCGCGCCCTGGGCAGCGCAGGCTTTGCGTTTCGCAGCGGCTGGAAGCGGGTATCTCAAATGCCGTTTCTTAAAAACCTCTCCCGGGAGGCTCGGGATGCAGCACGGGTGGGTTTGGGCCGGGAGATCACCCCCCCCCCCCAGCCCTATTTACGGGGATACGGCACCGGCAGGCTCGGCACGGCGTAGCCGGCTCCTCGCATCTGCCCTTCAGATATTTTGTTACGTGCTGGCTCTTCAGGTTTCAGCCTGGCGTGCAGCAACAAGTCGGATATTGCTACAGGAGCGTCGCGGCCAGGTAGGGAAACTTCTCTTTGCGTCTGCCGGGGCGCACGCTGGGCTCTGCGTCGCTTTGGAGTGTGGCTGATCCTTTCTCCTCTCTTAGCCTTGGCCATAGCAGCCCCAGAAAGGCCTGTGTCAAGCCCTCACTTGCGTTTGGTCGGTTCCTAATAGCTTGAGACAAAAATGCTCATTATAATATTGTGCTGAAAGCGTTCACGTTTCCTTTCTGTGCAAAGAGGTCTGCAGTTTTTTCCCCCCCCCCCCCCCCTCTCTGAAGAGCTCCTGGGTGACAGGCTCAGCCCTTTTCCAGGCTGAGAAAGGAAGAGCCGGGTGTGTTGTGCGCGTGATGCACGCGTGGCCTTGCAGGATTCCCCACGAGAGAAGGGCAGAAAACACCAGGCGTGCACAGGTGGATAGTGTCTCGGAGTGCTCGGTGAGAGCCGGACTTTCACACGAACTTTCAGGTTTTGTTCTGGAAGCGAACGGCCGAGGAGGGAAGCGGGCTTGTTCCCCTCCTGTGAAGTTGCAGTTTGAGGCCGGCCGCGGGACGGTGAGGCGAGACCCTCGGCCGTTCACCTCCGGGTGATCCGTCACCCTCCAGGCTGGGCTGGCCGCCCCGCAGTCCCCTGGGGACCACGAGGAGAGCGGCCGTCCCCAGAGCTGTCAGCGCGCCGGCGTTAATTTGATCCGCGCCGGCGCTGTCAGCGCCTGAAATGCGGGCTGCCGAAAGGCAGCCGCCGGCCAGACCCGCTGTTGTTTGGTGTTGACAGGAGACGCGTTTCGTCGGGTTTTGGTGGCCTGGGGAGCGGTGCTGAGCCCCGGCAGCCCGCGCTCGGCCGAGGGAGGGAGCAGTGCCGGCCGGCTGCCGAGCCGCAGGCCTGAGCTCCCAAAACACGGGGCGGATCGCCACGTCTGCCTTAGCCCCCTCGCTTCCCCAGCCCCGCTCGGAATAAAATCCAGCGCCAGATCGGGCGAAGCCGGGGATGTGAGCGCAGGGCGCGTGCGGCAAGGTGCCTGGAAAGGTGCCTCCGGCGCGCGCAGATAAAAACACTCCTGGAAATCCGGAGAACCCTGTCAAAAAGCGTTCGGTTTGCTGCCCTGACCTCCATTGCTCCAGCAGAAATTACGCCGCTGGCTTTTTCCGTTCCTGCTCCTCTCTGCCTGCACCCCGGCAGGGTCCCTGCCTTGCCTCGGGAATATCCCACCACACATCCCTGGCAAGAGGGATCAAAACCTCCAATCAAGGAGGCTTTCCTTCCCAGAGCAGAGGTGGCTGCCCCTTCACGGGGAGCTGGAAGGTGTTGTTTGATGGATACTCTGTTTTGAAGTCTTGAAAAAAAAATGTCTATTATCAATTCCCTTAAAGAAATTACAGACTATTGCTGCTGACGGGCTCATGCGCCCTGCTGGTTGGCCATATCGCTGCTGCAGAATATTGCAGCGATAATCCTGGTGAGCAACAGGACCCGTTTGTGAGCTGTCAAGTGCAGAACGTGTCGTCTTTGCCTGAGATTAAAAGTAGCTCAATGAAGAGCAGTGTTTAGGATGAATTTGAAATTAGGTTTCTAAGTGTTTCTTGGACACAGCTCAAGAGCAGCGTTCGATGTTTCTGGCTCTTTCAAAATGACAGGGGGATGTGGCGGCACTTCGTTTTGTGCCTGAGCAAAGCGGGGGGGATTGTTCTTGTGGATGCAGATTAAAATAGTGCAGGATGAGATTATCCCCCGGATCGGAGATGGAAATAGGATGCAGTTCCTCAGCAACTGAGATAGCTGAAAATGGAAAGCTCCACATCTGCTGCAGGCTGTGAGCAGGGGCTGGCACCCCCCGCCCCCAGTAGCCAAGCAAGCATGAGAAGGGAGTACCAGGAGTCCAGCCTAACATTAGAAATCCAGACTAACCTGGAAGATTTAACATCCTCTAATTACAGAGGGCTGAAGACACTGGGGAGCAGTGGGTGACTCCCCCAGGTCTGCAGCAGCTCACCAGCTCAGCGCTTCAGCCTCAGTGGTAGGGAATAAAACCTGAAGCACCAGTGTAATAGGAAGGAGAAGCCTGGGGGGGGAAAAAAAAAAATACTTGAAAGTCTGTCAGGGTGGTGATAGAACGTGGGCTGGGCTGGAGCCAGATTGCAGCCTAGCAGAAAAAACAGACCCAGCCATGCCGGGTTCCCCGGTGAGACCTGGCTGGAAGCAGAGAGGAGGGAACATCGCAGGTGCCATGCGGGGCAGCTGGCTACTGGAAAAATCTACACAGCTGGGAGATAAAAAGTGCAGCTTGGGACTCTGAAGTGCGGAGGCCTTATCTGCAAACGGAGATTAAAGGGAGGTAAGCTCCGTGTTTACTGCGCAAGGCGCAGGTAGTGAAGCTAGTGGAAGGAGCGAGGGCGTTGGAAGTGGGGCTGAACCAGACCGACCTGTGGAGCGTGAGAAGTACCTGTGCGAGCTGAAATGGGAGAATCTGCTCTCTTGGGAAACGAGGCTAACGAGCTGCCCTTCTCTAATTGCTGCTTCAGAGGAGTTGAGAGGTGGCCAGCAAAAACAGCCAGCCCTTTTCTCTCCTCCCTGCCCCAGTGCTGCCCAGGCACGGATCAGTCCTGGGCTTCTGGTTGAGGACCTGAAACCAGTTCACTTATGCTCCGGTCTGCCTCTTCTGTGGGAAGTGTTTCTGCACCGGTCGAGGGCAAAAAATAGTGGGTTTATTTTTATGAAAGTTCTGCAAGTTGAAATGTGAGTGTTAAACCCAAAGTGCAGCAGAGGCTCGAGGGTGCAGCGCTGACCTCTCCCCTTCCCCCGTGGAGCCAGCCCTCGCAAACCCCGCCGTGCTCCTGAGCGCTCGCAGGGCAGGCGGGACAGAGGGCAGCCCTGAAAGTGCACAGAGAAAGAAGAGCTCAGGTTTGGGTTTTTTTTTTTTGTGTTTGTTTGTTTGTTTGGTTTTTGTTTGTTTTGGGGTTTTTTTTTCTAAATTCTGGGGTGCACTGGGTGGGTTTCCCTGCTGAACCACCAGCCCATCTTGCAAACGCAACGATTCCCAAAGCTATTTATAGAGCTGGGAGCCCTGGCCGGCCGGCCTCTTCCATCACGTAACCCGGCGCTCCCCGCCGAAGCAGCCTCCGCCGAGGTTTTGGCTCTGGCTGCGCCAGCCTGGGAGGGTAAAGAGGACCATATGTCCCTCGCCTTGAGCCAGGCGCGCAGCTGCGCTCGGTTCTCCGTCTGGTGCTGGCTTGTTAACTCTTTGGGGGCGAAGGGGAGGAACGGGGGGGCTCACGCCACGCTTGGCTGAAGGAAGGGATGCTCTCGCAGAGGCAGAAACCAGCCCGAAGTGGGACTCGTGAAGGGCCTGGCCTCCCGGGAGCTCCTCAGTCCTGCTGTGACTGACCTTGATTTGCTCTGCCGTGCGTTCTCCTGAATTGGGTAAGGAAACGGTCTAACGGCCTGCCTGGAAAGAGCGGATAACCGGACGTGTAATTCTGGGATGTTGAAGTGCGTTATTCAGATTATTAATAACTCGCCTTCGAGATCGGCTTGCTTCCCTGCCGCTCCGACTGCCCTGCCCTGCATTATCTCCTCCTCTGCATCAGGCTCTCGCCTCCCGCGCTCCTCTTGCAGCGCGGCGGGTCCCTACGCCTTTGCCCTCGCTGTCCTCTCGCTCCCCTCTCTCATCCTCATCTCCCTCGGGGTCAGCCACCCCCCTTTTACACCCCGCTTGGGTGCCGCCTGCCCTAAGGAATCCTTCCCCACCTTCTTCAGTCTCGCCTCCGCGAAACTTCTGCCCTTCTCACATCAAATGTCTCAACAGGGTGACGAGGGGCACCCTGCCCTCGCTCTGCTTTGTCACCCTGCGGAGCGGGAGCCCGCCGGGACGGGGCAGCCCGGTCGGCCCGGGCAGCGCGTCTCGCGCAGCACGGCCCCCCTCCGCCTCGGCGAGGCTGGCGCCGGCGCGGTGCCCCGGGGGACCAGGGCAGGGAGAGGGGCAAGGGGGTAGGCAGCTGTGGCACGTGTGTCCGCTGCTGCCGAAGGGATCAGGCGAGGGGCTGGGGACCGAGGGAACAGCGCTGAGCCGCCGCTAACTCCTGCCTCCTGCTTCTCGCCCTTGGCCTCGGAGGGCAGGTAACGCGCTCAGCCCCGCAGCGGCAGGGCTGGACGGTGCCCAGCCTTGTGCCCGGAGCACGGTGCCATCTCTGCGCAGCAGCACGGAGAGGGGGGGGGGGGGCTGAGGGACCACGTCCACGCAGAAACGTGGAGGTCTCCTCCAAAAAAGAAAAAAAGTCCATCCCCTTTAGATGCCGCCGGCGTTGGGATGGGGATAGCGCGTTGGCATCTTCCTGCGGCAGCCGCGCGGGTTCGTTTGCCCTCGGATGCCTCGGTCGCTCGTGCTAATTTGCACTGGTGATTATTTCCAACTTCAGGGACCCAGGACTGCCTGGTAGCCCTGGCTGGGGTTGGATCCTGCAAAATCTGTGCCTTTGAAGCACCGCGCTTTTAAGCGTCGCCCAAATACCAAACAGGGCCTGAATTTCTCTTTTCCCACCTCGTGCTGTCCTGTACCTTCTCCAAAGGCAAACCTGCCTTGCCAGGCTGCTGATCCAGCCCTGGGCGAGTGTGGGAGCATTACGGGTGGTGATGATGCTGTTTGTGAAGACAGGGGCCTCCCAGGCTGCCTCCCTGCCTTGCAGGCGCAGCTCCTCGGGATCTGCCGTGCTCCAGCTCGGGACGTGCAGCGCTCAGGAGATGGGTTGTGTGCCCTGGATGCATTTTCCGAGCATTCAGTCCCCAGGTTGAAGATTAATTTTTCTCCTTTTTTTTTTTTTTTAAATCTACTTAATTTTCCAGGGGAAAGGAAAAACAAAACCAAGAAGCCTTCGTTATAAGAAAGCAGATTTTTAAATTTCTTTTAGTTTTAATGGAGAGCCATGTCTCAGAGCAGTAAGCTTGCTGCAGCGCCTCAGCGATATATCAAAATTACCTTGGCTCTGGGCGTACTTGGTAGAGCATCAACAGGCTGACGGTTACAGCGCTGCTCCAGTGACTCAGATAAATAACACGCAGACCAAAACATACATTGAGCCTGGCTTGGCCAGACTGGAAAATACACTCTCGGGAGGTGCTTTTCCAGGCAGGGATGGCTCTGCACGGCCGGGGCTGCTGTGAGGGACTGCTGGCATGCTCCGAGCAGCAGCTGATAGGGGAAAACCACGACCTTGAGTCCTTCAGACCCGGCTGTGACAGATGGGAGATAAAAAACCACGTTGGTTGGGTTTGGTTTTTCCCTTTCGTGTTTGGGCTACTGAAGCAGTACCTCACGTAGGTCGCTCCCGTGCTGCCGCTGTCTGTGTGCGTACCTCTGCCCCTGGGTACCCGCCGCTGTATCAGCCAGCACCGACAGGAGATTTGGGCGTCTGTCTCCCTGTTTGGTGAGTTTTTTCACCCAGAATATTCCCAGTGGATGCACAGGCGGGGAGCCCCTGCTGCTTGCTGCCTGCTGGTTCTCCCAGCAAAGCGCAGGGGCATGGCTCTGCGGGTGGGCTCCCATCTCGCTCCGTGACACTTCAGTGTCACCCAGCTCCCTTTCTGAGCAGAAACCTCTGGCTCCAGCAGGCAGGGGACAGCTCAGGAAGCTTTGGGATGGCTTAAATCTAACAGAAGAGGTGGGAGTAGTGTGGTAGGGAAATGGGTGTGATAACAGCGGTGAAATAACTTCCACAGTCAGTGTGGGGGGCACGGAGTGGGGCTGGGAATGGGGCTGTGGACACCTGTGTGTTTATAAAAATGAAGGGGGAGGGGAGAAAAAAAAAAAAAAAAACAGACCTGTTGGTGACAGAGTAAACAAGTGACATGGACCGTGACGTGGAGGCACAAATGCTTCCTGCGGTCTGATTTTGGGACGCAGCAGTTGTGTTCACACAGCCCGGGGAGCACGGCAGCTGGTGCCCGGTGTGCCGGGGCTGCTCTCCCCCCGGGTCCCGGCTCCCCCCCGGCCCCCCCTCGGGCTGGTGGAAGCTGAAATCGGGAAGCCGGGCTCGCTCAGCCGGCGTCTCCAGACCCTGCCTGCCCCAGGGAGCCCTTGGGTTTGCTCTGCGGGGCTGCAGGCTCTGCGGGGTTTGGGGATGCTGGCAGCGCTCGGGGCTGCCCCGCTGTTGCGATCTGTTTGTGCTGAGAGCTGCTGCCTTTTGCTGCTCCACCGGCTGCTTGAAAAACCTGTCCTGCCGACGGGAACCGCGATGAAAGTCCTCCTGCTGCCTTACAAACCTGGAAGGGAAGCTAGACGCAAGCCGTCCCTTTCATGTCTCTGTTCCCAAACCACAGCACGCCGCCCTCCTCTGCTTCTCCTCCACCCGTGGCTCCCCACGGCCGTGCCGTGGGTCCTGGGTCACCCACGCCAAACACTCGGGGAAAAACCCCCTTTGCTGGTCAGAAAGAGCTGCAAAGCGCTGCCAAGAGCCGGCACCATGGGAGCGAGGTCTCTTTGCAGCCGGATTAGCAAGGAGTGTGAAGTCTTGGGGAAGAGGAAGCTTTTTTTTTTTTTTTTTTTTAAGCATAAAATTAAACATTCAAAAAAACCTTCCCTCCTCTCTTGTGCTGCTTCTCCAGCGAAGCCGTTCTCTGCAGTGGCTGGTAGGGAGCCACCGGACCAGCGCAGGCACCTCGCTCCGTCCCTGGGCAGCAGCTGCCTGCTCGGCGCCAGGGCAGCGGGAGGACTTTCGGTTCGACCCAGCACCGCTCCCGCCCGCGCAGAGGACCCGGCTCTGGACGCCGTACGTAAAAACTGTGAACCCCACCAGCTCCTCAAAACTCCCAGGCCCATGAGCTCCGGGCTCTGCCTGTACCAGCAGCTGTGCTGGTGGTGTGAGAAGCAAGCAGGGAAGGAAGGAGAGCTCCCCCATCCAAACTTTTCGTGCTTTTTCGCTTGCTTTGCAGCTCTGTTCCCCTTCCCGCCTGCCCTGCGACTCCTGCCAGACCTGGGCTGTCGTCAATAAGTCTGGCTGATGGCGGGGGAGCTGCTGTGTTGGCTTTGGCACACTTCAAGTTCCTGTGCTTAACCCGGAGCCTTTCTCACTTCTCTGCAGATAACAGAGGCTGCTTCAGTGTGGCCTGGTTCTGTGTCCCGAGCCTGCAGGCAGCCTGACCACCTTGCTGCTCTTCCTTTTCTTTTTCCCCTTTTTTTTTTTCCCCCCAGGAGCAGCTGTGTTAAAGCTGTGCCGCTCTTGGGGACCCAAACGTGTCAGCACACAAGGGCTGAGCACCTTTGTTATTGGCGGGGATGCTTTTCAGAGAGTAACATGTGACAGCTGCCGTGTACTTCGGTGTGCTTGGGACTCCTCCCAAAAATGAGAATAATCTGCTTGGCCCCTAAACGCGGCTGCCTTTAACGAGTAACATGGGATCTCCGCTCCCGGGTGGTTGGAGCGGCTGCTGGGCTGCAGGTCTGACAGCAGCCCTGACCTGGATGGAGGCAGAAAAGACCGGGCTTCGGCGGGGGTGCTGCTTGCTCTCACAGCCTTGCAGGGCCTCGTGGACGCTCTGAGAGATCATCGAATTTGTTCTTCGTGTTCTTAAAATAACATTAGGCATACCTGGACCAGCCGTGGTGCCCATCACGCACTGTTCCCTGAAATTTCTGGGGAGAGGCTTGTCCCCCTGCAAAGGGCATTCGTTCCCACGGTCACTATCCCAACCTCAACCCCCTCCAATTCCAGTTGCTACTGCCGCAAAAGCCACAACCCCCTCTGTATCCACAAGGACAAAAGGCTGATTTTTCTGCAACCTCCCTCTGTACCTAAAGGGCTGTTGTGCGGGGCTCCCCAGCTCTCATCCTCCTCGAGACCAAACCAACCCGCTTCTCTTCTGCCAGGTCTTCCCAAGAAATCGTGTTTTCCAGCCCCTGCTCCTGCGGGATGCCCTCCAGTTCATCTCTGTGCCCCAGCGCTGCGCTGGAGCTGGGTCCAGCACAGTTCCAGATAAAACCTTTACCCGGGGAGAGTAAAACATACAGCTGGGATGTCCTTATGTGATGTTTGGACATTTTTCGTCAGGGTTGTGCTGGCCTTAATCCATGTTTCGCTATTCCGGAGGATTTTCCTATTGAATTACTGTCTCATTTATCTGTCTGTGTGTCCTTCCATCTGTCTGTGTGTCCTTCCCTCCATCTGCTCCTGGGGGCCTTTCAGAAATTGAGGTTTGGGACTCTGTAAGGTTTGTCTGGCTTCAGGCCACGCTACTGGGACTCTGAATGCCTGCTTTAGAAAAAGGCAGCCTTCGTGTCGCAAACCAACAGGCTTTTGCGAAATGCCCTCTAAAAATAAAGAAATTACAGCAGAGATAAAGGGACGCGAGCTGGCGTGCGTATGGTCTGCCAAAAAATTGGTTATTTTGGGGAAAGGGGCAACCTGGTTCTGTGGTGTTGGTGTGTTGACTGTAGTGGTAACCCAGTTGTGGTCTTTTGGTGTATTTTTGTGGCAGATTTCAAATAAATGTGGTGGATGGACAGGGTTTGGGGTGGCGGTGCTGTCCAAGCCCTGTTCACAACTTCTCCAGGAGCTGTTGGTCAGGTCACTCACTCCTTGCTCTAAGTCCAGACCAAGCACCATCAGCCTATCCCTGATGGGTCAAAACCTTGAAGAAATAAATGCTGCCACTGCCAGGGCGGTGTAGTGCTGCTTCCAGCACTCTCAGGGAGAGGAGAGGAGCCGGGAATAGCCCCATGCCTTGAAAAAAAGCAGCCTGGAAGCAGGCGGAGCTGTGTGCTGGAAGCCTTGAGCTGTCACCCATCAGCACGGCCGGTGGCGAGCGTCCCTCTGGGAGCTGGGTGGCTGGCGTGGGTCGGGAGGCACGGGGGTCCCCGGCAGCTCCCTCACCCCCCGTGTTTCTCTTCCCAGAGTCAGTAATGATGAATGGTTCCGACCTCGCCAGTACGACGGCGTCCAGTCCCAAATCCAAAGAGGACCAAGTAGTGAATGGCCACGATGAAAAGGAAAACAACCCCTTTGCAGAGTACATGTGGATGGAGAACGAAGAGGACTTCAACAGACAGGTGAGACCAGGAGGGTGGTGGCCAGCTCCGCGTTTCCACGGCTAAAATTGAGGGGAGGGAAAGGTTTCCTTTGATGGGCACCATGACGGGTGCGTGAGTCACAGCCGGCGCGGGCCCCGCACGGAGACGGTGGCTCAAGGGAAGAGTCATCCTGTTTATGTTGGATCTGTATGTAAGGACACGGGATGGATAGAGTCAGAAAAAAAAACACCTCCCCGTGCCTTTGACCCTCTCAGATCTTTCTCAGAGGGACGGCGATGGCACTGTCGTCTTCTCCTGTGCTTTGCTGTGGTAACTGAGACCTTCCCTTTCTGCGTGCTCAGCTGGAGGGAGGGGACCAGCATAAAAATCAGTGCTCGAAATTTGAGAGCATTCGTAGCCTAGCTATCTCAGCAGTGAGTTCCGGCAGGCAGCGCCTCTCGTTTCAGGTAGAAGTCTTAATTTCAGTGAAATGGTGCTGAGTACGCTCGGAGCAGCCGGACCACTTGGTCAGGGCCTTGGCCACGAGTTGCCGTGCCCGTAATGGCCAGCTGAGCTCTTGAGAGCTTCTGGTAGATTGTGCTGGGGCTTGGACAGCTCTTGCTTGTGGAATAACGATGCGACCCTGCGAGCTGGAGCAGAGGGAGCAGCCGCAGAGCATCCTCCTCGTGCTTCTGCTTTGGCTCGTCACCCAAACGCCAGGGCAGCACCAGGCAGCAGGGAAGAGCTCGCTGGTCCCTCCCGCCATCATCCCAGTAGCTGGAGGGAAGTCAGAGACCTTGAACTGGGCGAGGAGGGACCTTGCCCCTTTAGCTGGCTGAGCTCTGCAACAGGCAGAGAACCTGAAGTCTCCTGGACGCTTGTCCCCTCCCTGAAACGTCCGAGCACCCTCCCAGCACTGGGCTGTTGGGAGACAGGTAGGGAGGGGTCTGCTGGAGCTGCAGGCAGGCTGGGCAGGGGGATTCCATGTCCCCACCGCACCCCTGGTCACCAAAGGAGGATTTCATCAGCTTTACTGGTGTTCTCAGCAGAAAATCTCCATATGGTAATACTTAAGTCTCATTCCCACAGGAGGAAACTGCAGCCAGTCGCTGACAGTAACTCCTGGTGAGTGTGCAGCAGCCGCCTTGCACCGCCCCCCCCCCCCCCCCCCCCATCACACTAGCGATTGTTAGCACGCCGTGACTCAAGGCTTTTGTTTTATTTAATGACGCGATTAGGCAGCAGCCAGCCCCCACAAGCAGCTGCTGCCCCGATGGAAATGTGCGAGATTAATTAGTTAATGTCCGTAAAGCGCTGCCTTGATTAAAAGCCTGATGAAGGCAAAGTGCAAAAGCAAACCATGGTGCAGCTGGGTGCCCGAGGGAGCGTCCCGGGGCGGAGGGAAGCATGCGCTGGCAGAGGGAGGTGGAGGAGGGAGGAAAATGGAGCCAAGGCCTCAGGGCTTCCCTGTGCTGGGCGCTGTGTCACCGAGATACTCACCCCTGCTTTCCTGGTGTGCCAGCCCTTGCTTCTGCCCTTCCCAGCCCCTTAGCGATGCCCTGGGCGCTCAGCCCTTGGTCCAGCTCCCGGTGAAACTCTTGAGTGGGGGAAAATGGTTCAGTACAGAGGCTGGAGTCGCTCTTTAAGGGCTTTGAAGTCGGGGTGTCTGCTGGCGGGGTGCCGGCCGGGGGAGGGAGAGCCGTCCCGCGCCAGGATCTGTGTCGGTCGGAAGGCAGAAGCCGTCCTGGGGCTCGTGGGGCTGGGCTCGGGATGCTGCACCTCGTGTCTCTCGTCGGGCTGCCTTCTGCTCCGCGGCCTGAGCCGCTCCTGAGTGTCCCCCCCCCGGGAGAGGCCGAGCTGCCGGCGAGGGGGGGCACAGCGTGGGGGACGGCAGGCACGTCCCTTTCCGTGGCAATGGTGGCAGCTTCTCCCGCCTTCATGTGCACGCCCCGGTGGCTGGGGGGCTGCTGTAAGATCTGGGGCTGAGTCTTCCTCCAGACCCACTGGCTCTTCCTCAGCTTGCTGAAGCCACGCTGCTTCCTTGCCTCCCTCCGCAAAGGTTTTCTGCCGCCCAGGCCCTGAGCGAGGGGAACAGGCGGGTGTTTTCAGAAACCCACGAGCTGCTTGGCACGGTCCTCCCTTATTTATGCGAACGACGAACCTTTTCCCATGGAGCCAGCACGTCCCGGAGGGCAAAAAGGGAGTGGTGGGCTGTTGTGCTGAGAAGAAACTGTGCCGACAGCAGGTGAGGTCGGCGGAGAAGGACCTGGGGTGGGAGGTGACAGAGCTGCATTGAATACCACAGGAAGCCAAAGCAGAGCCCTGAGCAAATAATAAACCCTTTCTTTCCTAGCACAGGTTGTCACGGTGCAGTGCGAAGGAGCTGCGTGCTCCGAAAAGGCTGGGAAGGGAAACGAGGTGCTGCTGGGCTGTGGTTAGAGTACTCAGAGGAGAGGGAATATTCACCTGGGCTTGTAGTGTTGCGAGATGCACAAAGCTCTGGGCTCGCTCCGTCAGTGTGCAGGATCCCAGGGCAGTCACCTACCGGGCGAGCCAGCAGTCCCGGGGTGGGGTTTTTTTTTAAATATCCTGTCTTCATGTGCTAATGCTAGCATGTAGTTTCAAGCATGGCCTCTGGAATCCCGGTTGAGGACAGCGATGGGAAGTTTTGCCAGCGGTAAAGGGGATTTTCCCCTGAGCAGACCTGATTTCTAAGGCTGGTGGCAAGAAGCTCTCCAGCAGCTGAGGCCGGAGGCAGCATCTAAGGCTTGGTTCTTGTGAGAGAGCTTTTAACGCTCACGGAACGGTTTGGGTTGGAAGGGACCTTAAAGGATCACCCCGTCCTAAAAGTCATCTAGTCCTCACAAAGAGTTTTTTGGAGTGTGATTTAAAATGTAGCAGGGACTGGCTGTGAATAACCTGGAGGCGTGGTGGCTTTACCAGGGTCACCTTCCCAGGCTGCCTGTGACAGACGGGTCTCGGTAGCTGCCGTGCTGGGGCAGTGGGAGCCCAGCAGCCCACCAGTGGCAGGGGCTGCCAGCCCGTCCCCAGCTCAGGGGCTGGGTATGGGGCACGGTGCCAGGCAGAACTCCCCTTCTCCCCCTCCCGCCCCAGAAAGCCCGTTTTGGTTGTAGCTCCTGCTTGCTCGGAAAATGGAAGGATTTCAGCTTTTCGGAGCATTTTGTGGTTCACGGACTCCCCCGGCCCTCTCGGTTTCGATAGCAGCTGCTCAGCATCACGCCGCTCTCTGGCCGTCGCCCCGTCTGCTCGTTTTCTGGCGACCACGTGCCTGTTTAGCAGGAGGCCGGCGGCGGCGCGGGCTGCCCAGCTCGCTGCCTCCCTCGCTCTGCTCCAGCCAGCGTCCAGAGAAAACCGGCCTGGAAGGTGGGAGCAGCTGGTTAGCGCGGCCCGCTGACGGTACGCGCTTCCTCGGGGGTGAGGACGGGACCCCCAGCTCCCCCCTCATACCCGCCTCCTGCCTGAAGCGCACCCCTGCCTGAGCAGCTTTCTGCTCCAGGAGCCCGAGCCAAATCCCGTGGCTCTCCTCGGCCTCGGGAGGAGTTTTCCTGCAGCGGAGATGGCCTCACCCGCGGCGCGCTCGGCGGGAGCCGACTGCCACCCTGCGTCGGTGCCGGCAGAGCAGCGGTCGGCCGAGAGGGCTGAGCAGGGGTGATTTATCAAAGCGGAGCAGCCCGGGGAGCAAGGACGGTTGGCAGAGCTGCGGCAGCGCTCCGAGCACGCTCCCCCCAGCCCTGCTCCCCGCTTGTGATTTTATTAGCCATCCCTTTCGTTTTCCAGCGAGCTCCGCCGGAGCCTGCCAACCCGAGACCCCGTGCGTGCGCCGACGCAGCCGGGTGTCCCCTAAATCCTAATCCCCTTCCCTCCTGGATTCGCCTGGTGCCCTGAGCTCGCAGGCTGCATCCCCCCTCCCCGGGCATCCGCAGCGGCCGGGGAGCGACGCCCGAGCACGGCTTTGCTCCGCTCAAAAGACGCCGGTTTTTGTGCTCTGGCTACAGGCAAGTCGGCAAATCTAGGTTTCAGATACAGCCCTGGCTGTCCTGCGACGCTTCTGAAGCACGGCCAGGTGCCGAGGTGAGGCGGGGCACGTTGCAGACTCTCTCACCAGGTGGGGACAGCACGTGGGAAACACCAAGACGTTGGTACCTGTGACTAACAGGTCTCTCTGGGCAGGTGGAGGAGGAGCTGCAGGAGCAGGAGTTTCTCGACCGCTGCTTCCAGGAGATGCTGGAGGAAGAAGACCAGGACTGGTTCATTCCATCGCGGGACCTGCCCCAGGGCATGGGGCAGCTGCAGCAGCAGCTGAACGGGCTCTCGGTGGGCGACGGCCACAGTTCAGAGGACATCCTGGTAAGGACCTCGGGGAACAACGTGCTGTGAGGTCTGGCAAAAGAGCAGAGGACCCGTCCTGCGAAGCGGGGCTGGATTTCCTTGGGGGGTTTCCTGAGTGGCAGCGAGGTGTCGGTGCGAGAGCTGGTGATAATGCACGGGTGACGAGGCATTTTGGAGTTTTCTGCCAGGGTAGTTGTTTTAGCCACGCACATCCTAAAGGCAAAAGTACCCAGCTTTGCAGAACTCGCTCTCCAGAAGCCGTGGGATGGGGCTGCCCCTTGCACGTGAGCTGGGCTGCGGTCCTGGAGCAAGCCGGGTCCCTTCTTGCCTTTCGGGCAGTGTCGGGGTGTCCTGGGTGGGGCTGGAGAGGTACAGCAGGACCCACCAGGTCTGCTCCGGGGGTGCTGAGCACCCCGAGCCGATAGAGATTCATTTAGAGTGCTGAAAACCTGCTGGGTGGCTGGAGGAGCAGCGGTGCTATGGCAATGCCTGTTTTCACCCCTGAAAGCAGGAACATGCCTCAGGGCTGTGTGGACCAGCACGGAGGGGGGTTGTTCCGGCCGGGCCCCGCTGACTGTGTGTGTTAGCATGCGTGGGGCTAAACCAGCCGCTCGCCCCTCGCAGCACAGCCGCCGGAGCGAGCACAGGGAGAGGCAGAAAAAGCAGATTTTTGCCCCCCCCCCCCCCCCCATTAAAAACCTCAGCCCGGGAGGAGACCCTCCCGAGCTGGCGCTCGCTCAGCAGCATCCCGAGCGCTGCGGGTGCCTGCGAGGACACGAGGGCCAGGGCAGCCCCTTCCCACGCGTGAACATCCGTGGCAGCACCTTCAGCAAGTGGCCGAGGGCACGGGGGGGGGTGGGGGGTGGGGGGAGGGACCGTGGAGTGATGCTTAAAGGTAAGGGGGGTGCTGTCAGCATTTGGAGTGCTGACAGAGCCCCCCCCCTCCCTCTTCTCTTCCAGAGCAAAAGCAACTTGAATCCAGATGCCAAGGAGTTTGTGCCCGGCGTGAAGTACTGAGCATCAAGGCAGGCTTTGGAAAGACTGTCCCTGCTCCAGGGGAAGGTGCCGGGGGGGAAGGAGGGAGGGGATCGGCCCCCGGCTGGACTCTGCACCGTAGCAGAGTTGCTGCAACGTGGCGAAATCTTGCTCTACGCTTCGAGTACCTTTTTTTTTTTTTGGTTCTTATTTTTCCTTTTATTTTTTTTTTTTTTCGTTTTTTTCACACTCTTCTTTTGTATCGTCTATCACCTTTTTTTTTTTTGGCAGTTGTTGCTTTCTAGGACTCGCGGCCCTTAGGTCTGTCCTGGAGTCCAGCGCTCCCCCTGCTTCAGAGGCCCATTTTGACGCGTGCTTCAAACCTGCTAGTGGAAAAGTCATGTTTTCTTGTTTAAGTAGGAGTTGTAGGGATCCCCCTGCCCGCCTGCTCCCTCCCCAGAGGCAGCGAGCCTGGGCCGGGAGCCGCGCTGGCTTTCCCTGTTTCTGTTAAACAGGATTTCTTTCGCTAAAGGAAAGGTGAAGTGTAACAAGACTGTAAACCCTAAATTCCTCCAAGCAGCAGCCTGCCCCAGCTCTCCGATAGGTGCTGAACACTAACTCACACGCTTCTCTGCTGGTGGGTGAGAGTCCTGCCCACTTAACCGGTTGCAGGAGCTCTTGGTGGAGAGCAGACCCATCAGCCATCACCCCAGCCGTCCATCCCAAGGGGAGGGGCTGCTCCTACAAAACATCCTCTCCTTAAAGAATTTTTCCGCCCCCCCCCCCCCCAGTTCTTGAGTTTATCCAGCACTACGGGCTGCGGCTCTGAAGCACCTGTACCTTCATTTCTCATCAAAATAAACCCCAGAAAAATGGCGCAGAGCCTGTTCTCAGGCGTGGGGCAGCGGGGAGTCGGTGTCGAGCAGCCTCCCTGGGAGAAGGATCCTCTGTCGGGGTGAGTCCGGGCCCCGAGGAGCACCCACAGACGTAGAGAGAGCAGGGGGTGGGCAGCATACCCACATGCAGAGCCCTTGGCTGAGGCTCTGGTGGCGGGTGACGTTAGCCCAGGCCAAGCCTCCGGAGCAGCTGCTGGCGAGCAGGATCCGTGCCTGCGTGGGGTGAACTTGCTCTTGGGGGGGGGGACGACGACACCTCCTTCCCCCTCGGCAGGAGCTGCCCGGGCTTCAGCTCCCTAAACCGCAGCCCTGGGCGCTTCTGGGATTTTAAACGCTGCGCTTAGGGGGCTCCTGTGGAGAGCCAGGGGCAGAAATCTGTGCCCAGAGAAAGCCGCTCGGCGAGGCGCGCAGCCTGATGGTTAAAATACCGGCTGTAGCAGCGTGGGGGGGGGGGGGGGGGGGGGAGCTTCTGCCCCCCCCGTGTAAATCTCACGGATCCCCCAGGGGTTTGCAGAGGTGGAAGCCAAGGGCCACTCAAAAGCTCCGTCCCCCTCAGCCCGGCGGTGGGTGGTGGGTGGGCCCGGGGTTATACAGCGAGCAGGGGGGGGGGGGGGTTGGTTTGGGTTTTTTTTTCCCGATTTAACTCCATAACTCAGCAGCTCTCCCGCCTCCGGCTGCCTAGCTCCCACCCAGCCTGCTGAAGGTGCCCGTCTTCAATTTACCTGTTCCTGCCCAGAGGGATGGCTTGCTTTGGGTCGAGTTCTCCCGTTTCTCGGGTACAACCCGTGCCTTCAGCGCCTGCGCAGCCCCCCCCCCACCCCCGGGGGGGTTCCCCCCCCACGCCGGGGCCGTGCCCAGGGCTCTGCAGGACGTGGGGAAGGGCAGCTCCACGCTGGGAAAACTTTTGTAGGGGTAGCGCAGTTTCCCCCCACACACACACACACACCCTTTCTCTGGTTTCTATTTGATTTCTTACCCCCAAAAAAGAGAAAAAAACTACACCCCCCCCCCCCGACATGCTGTAAATTTCAGACAACGCATTATTAAAAATAAACTTTTGGAACTGAGCGCTGCAGGAGTCTTGCTTGGAGGAGGGGTGACTCCATCCAGCTCCTTGCAGGAGGCTCCTCGCCCCCACCAAGCCGGGGAGGGCAGCGACCGCCTCCACCGCCCCCCATTCTCCCCCCATTCTCCCTTCGCCTCAAGCAGGTTCAGGGGCAGCTCGAAGCTCCGGGGGGATTTTCCTCCTTCCTCCCCCCGCGGTGGTGGCACCCTTCCCCTCGGCTCCGCCGGCTTCCACCGAGGCCGGGGCTGAGCTTGGCCGTGGAGGAGGAAACAGCTCCCGTTTATGCCCGGTCAGGACCTCGGCACAGAGAAATTACAATTTATAAAGAATATATTTGAAAGCCAGGAGAGAGGATTCCCAGCAGGGGGGCCCGTCCAGCGTTCCTGGAAGGAGGGGGCAGCTTTTGGGTTTGTGCTCCAGGTCAGGCACAAGCCCTTGGCTGCCGGCTTCAAACAAAAAGAAGCCAAAAGAAGTTGGACGGGGCTGGGAGCACCCCGGGCTGGGGGCGGCACTGGGGGGGCTTTAAGGGCCCTTCCAGCCCAAACCAGGTTGTGATTTGATGAAAAAGGGCTTTTTCCACTTTTTCTTTCTTTTTTTTTTTTTTTTTTTTTCTTTTTTTTTTTTTTTTTTTTTTTTTTTTTTTCCCCCCTTTGAAATGAAGACCAGCCCCGGGGAAGCTCCCCTTGGCCAGGGCCGAACCTCGCCGTGCTCCCCGCAACCGACTTCACGCACCCTGGCTCTGCAAGCCCAAAAGCCTCCTCCTTCCTCCTTCCTCCTCTTCCTCTTCCTCCTCCCCAGCTTCCCCCCCCCCCCAGCACCACACCAGCAGGCTCACCCTCCTCAAGCACCAAAACGGGAACCTCCAAATTCTTTTTTTTTCTCCCATTTCCCAGCAGCCCCACCCCAGCCCAGCGCACCCCCCACCCAGCCACCATTTCCCCTCGGGCGGTGGAACCTTTTTATTGCCAAACTACAAAAAAAAAAAAAAAAAAAAAAATCCTCCTCTGCCGGCAGCCCCGCTGCCACGCACGGAGGGTCCCCCCACCCCCGGGGAGCGGGGAGCACGGGTGGGGGGGGGCCGTGGCTAGAAGACGTGGGTGTAGAAGACGTCCACGTTGCCGGCGTAGTCCAAGGGCAGAGTTTGGCCGACGCTGCGGGCGCCCAGGCGGGCCCCCCCCAGCGCCGAGGAGCGCTTCAGCTTCAGGAGGCTGAACCGGGAGAAGGGGCGGCCGGGGGCCTCCTCCCGCGCCCGCGCCAGCACCTGGATGAACCCTGCGGGGGGGGGGACACACACACACACACACACACCCCGCAGGGTTGGGGTTACAGGGGACCACAGGACCCCCACCCCCGCCACCAAACCCCCCCCCCACCCCTCCGCTCACCCGCCTGCATCCTCTCCCAGCTATTCCAGACGGAGCCCACGCAGACGATGGGCAGCCCCAGCTCCCCCAGGAACAGGCTCTGTGATGTGGGGGGGGGGGGGGCAAAGGGTGAGAGCTGGCACCGGGGCTCCCCCCCCCAACCCCACGTACCGCCCCCCTCCCCACCAGCTCTCACCCTGTCGATTTTGGGCAGCACGGCGACGACGTGGCGAGCCAGGACCTCGCCGGCTTTGTTGAAGATGTGGCAGCAGAGCGGGTCACCAGCCTGGGCGCCTCAGGGGGGGGGGACACACACGGAATGAGGACCCAGGACACCCCCCCCCCCCCCCCGCACCCGCTGGGGCTCACACCCAGCTCCCACAAACTGGGCTGGGGGGGGAGCAGCAGTGCAGCGTGGCTCCGGGGGTGGGAGACAGTCCCCAGGTGGGGAGCGAGGGCGGCAGGGACGGGTCACCCCCCCGGGGGTCTGGCCCCCCCCCTCTCCCGGGGAAGGGGCCCCCCTACCCTCCGCTAGTTTCTGGCAAAACCCCGCAAACTTGGACTTCTCGAAGGTGCGGTAGAGATGCGTCAGGAGGCCCATCCTGTCGGAGATCTGCAGTGCCCAGGGAGGGGGAAACACACACACACACACTGGTGAAGCCCTGCATCCCAGCTCCCTGCATGGGGGGGGGGACACACACACACAACCCCCTGCAGCCCCCCCAGGCTGCCACCACCCACCCCAGAGCCCCCCCCCCCAGACCCCACCAGCACCGCATGCAGCCCGGAGCCCCTTAGGGACCCCCACCATCCCACTGTGCAACCCAGAGCTCCCCAGCACACCCCCCCAGCCCCCCAGCCCCCCCCCCCAAGCCCTGGGACCCCCCCCAACAGCACCTGGAAGTAGTCGAACATGGCCAGCTTGACGTAGCCGACGTCGTGGGGTGGCACCTCCAGGTTGTCCATGCAGTCGAACACCATCTTCACGGCCTGATGAGCGATCCAGTACGCTGCGGGGAGGGGGGGGGTGGGAGTGTGGAGCCGGCTGAGACCCCCCCCCCCCCTCCCCAACCACTGCAGGCTGTGTGCGTGTGTGTCCCCCCCTCCCCAAACCCCCCCCCTGACACCTCACCGGAGCCTTCGTCACCCATCATGTGTCCCCAGCCGCCGCAGCCCGTCTCCGACCCGTCGGGGTTGATGAGTTTGCAGTTGGAGCCGGTACCCGAAATCAGGACGATGCCGCCTGCGGGGTCAGAGCCGGTCACACCCCCCCCCCCCCGTGTCCCCCACCACCACCACCTTCATGGGCCGGGGAGGGGGGGGAACTGTCCCCTACCACGGTCAGTGGCCGTAGCCATGGCCCCGACGGCGTCCGTGGTGACGTGGTAATGCCGGCTCAGGCGGGGGAAGCGCCGGTGCAGCTCCTCCGTCAGCGTGCCCGCCGCGTCCTTCTGCTCGCCCCCGCTCAGGGACAGCCCCTGCCCCGCACCCGAGGGTCCCCTGTCACCCCCGGGAGGGGGGGGACACGGAGCCGGAGCATCCCTGGGGAGGCTGCTGGTGCCGGTGGAGGAAGGGGGGGGACACCACACACACATACACACACTCACCAGCGAGCAGAGGGGGACGTGGGGGTCGACCCCCGCTTTGCTTTTGGCCTCGCTGACCATCCGCTCGATCCTCTCCACGCACTTCTCGGAGCCGATGAGCTGAGAGACGGCGGCGGGGGGGCGGGGGGGGGACACACACACACGCACGCTAAACCCCCCCACCCCCCCGGCTCCATCCCCGGGGGGGTCCCACACAGCCAAAAGCTTCGCCGACGGCCACCAGCACCTTCCCCGGTGGCCTCATCCCACCCAAGCGCCCTGGGAGCTTGGGGACAACCAAGGCCAGCCCCCCCCGCCGTGTCCCCCCCCGAGGGCTGGGTACGGGGGGGTCCCCCCCCCAGCTCACCCAGTGGTTCGTGCAGGGACCCTCCGTCTCGGCCAGGATCCGGCCATCTCCGGAGACCAGCACCACCCTGGAGTGGGTGCCCCCGCTGCGGAGAGAAGGGGGGGGGACACCCTGAGAGCAATACACCCCCCCCCCCCCCCAACACCCCCCAGTGCCAGGGGGGTGGGAGGACACGACACCCCCACTCAGCTCCGCACGTCCCCGGGGACCCCCTGCAGCACCTTGGGGGTGCTGGGGGGGGGCGCACCAGGGTGGGGGTCGCTGGACGGGGGGGGGGGGGGGGGGGGGGGGGGATGACCCCCCTCATTCCGCCCCACTGACCTGGGTCCCTGATCCCCCCCCCCCCCCCCCAGGCTGCGGGTACCCGGTGGAGGGAGGGGGGGGTGGGACAAGGGATGGGGGGCCCGGCCCGCAGCGCCCCCCCGGGTCTGGGGGCCCCCAAGGGAAATCGGGGCGCGGGGTGGGGGTTGTAGAGCCCCGTGGAACCCCCCCCTCCCCGCGGCGTGACCCCGCTCACCCCTCCACGCCGCCGAAGAGCGACGCCATCGCCGCCGGGACACGCCCCGCCCCGCCCGGCCCCTGGCCACGCCCCCCCAGCGCCGCGCCACGCCTCCCTGGGTCCTTGCCCCGCCCCTCCGCCCGCCCCGGGTCCTTGTGCCGCCCGTCCCGCGCCGTCCATCCCCGCCTCGCGGAGCCGCGGGGACCCCCGTGGGAAGGGGACGGGGGGTGAGCGCTCGTTCCGCGGGGGTCATACACTAATGCAGGGGGACGGGGTCATGCGGGACACAGCCCGGCGTGCCCACGCAGGACACAGCCCCGCGCACCTACTCGCGACACAACCTCCTCCCCCCACACACACAATATAGCCCCGCCCCGCACGCGCCCGGGACACAGACCCACGCACTCAGGACACAGCCCCACGCGTGCACCCACCTGCGACACAGCCACCCCCCACGCACCCACTCAGGACACACCCACGGCCCCAGACAGGCACCCACGCGTGACACAGCTCCACACATGCCCACACGCAGCCCCCTGCCCCCGGGATCTTGTCTCTGAACAAAAAGGGGGTTCCCCAAGCGCAGTCCCGTGGCGGGGGGAGTCCCCCCACTCCACCCACCCCCCTCACCCCCGGTCCCAGCAGTGGGGTTGGGGCTGGGGGACGTGTCTGTGGGCCGGGAGCCCCACGGCAGCTCGGTCCTCTGTCCCGCCGTGGGGACACAGGGTGAGGGGCTCGGCCCCCCCCCCCAGCAGCAGACACCCCTTCCCCTCGTTAGAGCCTGGCTAACGAGGGCGGGAGCAGCCGTCAGCTCCCACGGGCCCAGCTGAGGGGGGCGTCGTGACCCCTCTGTGGGTGACAGTGGGTGACAGCCCCGTGGCGGGGGCTGAGATGGGGGCGGTGGGGAATGGATGGATGGATGGATGGGGGGGGGGGCAGGAGGATGGACAGAGGGACGGATGGATGGATGGAGGGATGGATGGATGGATGGATGGATGGATGGATGGATGGATGGATGGACAGATGGACGGACGGACGGATGGATGGATGGATGGATGGATGGATGGATGGATGGATGGATGGATGGATGGATGGATGGATGGGGGCATGGATGGAGGGATGGATGGAGGGATGGATGGATGGACAGACGGATGGATGGATGGACGGATGGATGGATGGACGGATGGATGGATGGATGGATGGATGGATGGATGGAGGGAGGGATGGATGGATGGATGGATGGATGGAGGGATGGATGGATGGATGGAGGGATGGATGGATGGATGGATGGATGGAGGGATGGATGGATGGATGGATGGATGGATGGATGGATGGATGGATGGATGGATGGATGGATGGATGGATGGATGGATGGGGGGATGGAGGGATGGAGGGATGGGTGGCTGGAGAAGGCAAAAGGGCAGTGGGCTGGAGAGGTTGGGGAGTGGGTGGAGGGGCGGGTGGCTGAGCAGATGGGTGGGTGGGTGGGTGGGTGGACATGTCAGAATGGAAAGAGGAGGAGGGGGAAGATGGGGCAGGCAGGGGGGAGGGGAGGAAGGGGGTGTCACAAACTGGGGACACCGGGACAGTGACTGGGTGGAGGGGGGAGGTGGCCCAGTGCGGGCAGGGGACCAGTTCCGGGCAGGGGACCAGTTCCAGGCCAGGCCGGCCCCCCCCCCCCCCCCCCCCGCACGGCCCAGTGACATCGCTGCTGCTGGGGGTTCCCCAGACCTGGGGTGCTGGGATGGGGACCCCGGCGGAGCAGCCAGCGCAGGACTGGGGACAGGCCCCCCCCCCCCCAGCCAGCTCCAGCACTTCAGGGATTCCCCAGCACCCCCCTGTTGAGGGGGGCCCCTTGTCCACAGCAAGGACCCTCCTTCCCGGGGCTGGGGGGTGCCCCATGGCCATGGGGTGCTGCAGAGCAGGGCGGCCCAGAGCCTGTGGCCCCCCCAGCTCCGCATGGCTCAGGGGATGAAGATGCTCGGGGACATCCTCATCCTTCCCGAGTGTTTAGCAGAGTGGGAAGCCCCGAGGTGGGCCGGGGGGGGGGGGGGGGGTGTGGGGGTGGGGAGGTGGAGAGGGGGGGATGACCTGCAGATGGGACCCCCTAAGGCCAACAGCGGGTGCACGGAGCCCCCAGAGCACAGGGGAGCCCCCCCGAAAGTCCCCAAAGGTGGGGTGGAGAGGAGCGGCAGGGGAAGAGTTAAGCTGCAGTGTGTGTGTGTGTGTGTGTGTGTGTGTGTGTGTGTGTGTGCAGCCCCCCCAGCCCACCGCCCTAGTGCCCTCATTAAGTCCTGGTGGCACCAGACTGTCTGGGGACAGCGGGGACAGGGGACAGGGGACGGGACCCCGCCGCCTTTGTCTCACAACTGGTGGCAAAGTTTGAGGGGAGCCGGCGGCTGGCCGAGGGGCTGGGACCTGCGGGTGAGTCCGTGGGGTCCCACGGCGGGTGTCCCACGAGGGGACGGGACAGCGGTGGCCCCGCGTGGGCACGATGCCCCCCTCGGCGCCAGGGAGGGCGGCATCGGTGGGGTGATGCCGGGAGCACCCCGCCGGCATCCCACCGTCCCGCTTGGGGTCTGGCGGGCAAAGAGGCAGCAAATCCCCCCGCCGGCGCCTCCGCCGACCCCCTGGAGAAGTGGGGGTGCGGGAGCTGGGAATGCTCGAGGGGGACACCCCGCTCCCGCCAAACCCTCGGGGACCCCCGCCCGTGGGTGCCGGCTCGGGCGCGGGGAGGGCGAGCGAGGGCAGCGGGGCTGGGGGGGGAGGACGTGTACCTGCACCATCAGCTCGGGCGTCCCGGGGGTCCCGGGGTCACCGCTGGACCCGGCTTGGGAGGCAGAGGAGGGCGAGGCGGGAGGAAGGCCTGGCCGTGGTCCTCGGCGCCGGCGTGGAAGCGCCGATCTTGGAGGGGCTGCGAGATATTTTGGGGAGGGGGGGGGGGGTTCCGGATCCATCCCGCTGCCGGCGGGTTGGGAAATGGGCCGCGGTACTGGGGGGGGGGGGTCGGGTGCGGTGCTGAGCCGGGGGCCGCGGCCGGCACCGGCTCCATCCCGGCCTCACCGAGCGTGGGGGAAGCGGGGGGTGAGCGGCCCAATGGGGCTTGGGGTGGCGGGGGGTGGGGGCTGCCCCACCCTGGGGGCCCCGTGCCCGGCCGCCTGCCTCCGGCGGCAAAACCCAGAGAACCCGGCCGTGCGGTGGGGTCTGCGTCTGTCCTGCTGCCCGTCCCCGTGGTGCCCATCCATCCGTCTGTCTGTCCATCCCTCCATCCCTCTCTCCATCCATCCATCCCTCCCTCCCTCCTCTCCATTCCTTCCTCCATGCCTCCATCCCTTCATCGCTTCATCGCTTCATCCCTCCATCCTCTCCCTCCCTCCAACCTCTCCACCCCTCCATCCCTTCCTCCATCCCTCCATCCTCTCCCTCCCACCCTTCCTCCCTCCCTCCCTCCCTCCCTCCATCCTCCACATTCCTCCCTCCTTCCTCTCCACCCCTCCATCCCTCCCTCCATCCTCTCCATCTCTCCATCCCTTGCTCCATCCATCCATCCATCCTCTCTATCCCTCCCTCCATCCCTTCATCCCTCCATCCTCTCCTTCCTCTCCCTCCCTCCCTCCATCCTCTCCACTCCTTCCTCCATGCCTCCATCCCTTCACTGCTTCATCACTTCATCCCTCCATCCTCTCCCTCCCTCCATCCTCTCCCTCCATCCTCTCCCTCCTTCCTCTCCCTTCCTCTCCCTCCCTCCCTCCCTCCCTCCCTCCTTCCCTCCATCCTCTCCATCTCTCCATCCCTTCCTCCATCCATTCATCCTCTCTATCCCTCCCTCCATCCTCTCCCTCCTTCCTCTCCCTCCCTCCCTCCGTCCATCCCTCCATCCTCTCCCTCCCCCCCCCGTCTGTCTGTCCGTCCCCCCGTTTGAGGGGACTGGTGCCGGTGACATTTGTGCTCAGGCTCTGCCACCCTCCACCTGCCGAGGGGACGGGGTGGTGACCGGGGGTGGGGGGCCCTGCCCGGGGGTGGGGTGGGGGTGGGGGGGCTGCCGCATGTTTTGGGGCCAGGGTTGAGCACGGGGACGTGCTCGTGACCTTTCCACTCGGGGAATGTCACCTGTGTCCATCCCGCCCCCCCCCAGACCCCACGCTGCCCCACGTGCCACGCCGTGGGGACGGGGACACATCCTGCCCCCCCCTCCCAGCACCCCGATACTGTGGGGTGCCCGTCACCCTCAGGCCAGACCCCCCACCCCCCTCCTACACCAAACCCCCCCTCCCACCCTCCAAGCGGTTTTGCTGACTCAGCGTTTCCCTGCTTTTCCCTCCCGCCCCCCTTCCCTCCTGCACCCCCCCATCGGCTCGGGCCCTGCGGGGGGGTCCCGGTGCTGGGGGGGGTGTCAAGGCCGTGGAGCCCCTTGGCAAGAGGCAGCACGTTAGCGGGAGCAGAGGGCGGCCGAGCTGCCGCTCGTTAGGGCTGATCCGTGCGCCGCTAATTGATATTATTGCAGGGCAGGGCTTTGGGGAGAGAAAGGGGGGGGGAGAGCAGGATCCCCCCCCCCCCATCAGGACAGGGGTACCCCACGGCCAGCCTGGGGCTGGTGCGTCCTTCACGGCGCCCGTGCCTCAGTTTCCCCGGCCGGAGGAACACCCGTGTGGGCGAGCGGTCCACGGTGCCATCGGGGGGGGGGGGGGGGGGACACGCACACACACACAGAGCCCCCCCTGCACCCATGGGCACCTCCCAGCACCCCCCCCCCCAGCCCTGAGGCCGAGGTCTTGGGGTGCCACGTTGAGGTGTCCCCAACAAAAACCCCTCCTCCCCATGATGGGTGCGGAGCCGGGGGGGGGGGGGGCAGGCGGAAGGGGGGGGTGCCCACCCTGTATCAGCCACCCGAGAATCCACGCCCCCCCCCCTCCTTCCACGGCAGGGAACCCCCCTCCTCTGGGGCAGGATTTGGGGGTGACTCCAGGAGAGCAGAGCCCAGCGGCTGTGCCCCCCCACATCCCCTCCCCCCCCCTCACTTCGTGCACCCACGTCCCACCGGGGACCCGGTCACGGCTTCGGGTG